CTAGAAAATGCTGGTAATGTCAACGAAATATACTATTGATTATAAGATTATACAAATAATTTCGTAAACAATTGTCAAGAATTACAGAATCCGGGGAAACAATAATAACACTATTATTTACATCTGAAAATAGATTTAAATTTATGACACTTTTGTTGATTTCAAATAATGACTGAAATATTAAATAATATCTCATGAATTTGTAGTACAACCAAGTTTATTTAAATCTAAGGACAAACTACACGAGCGCCTGGATTTCAAATAACTTATCCCTTATCTATTGATTGGTTTTGTAGTTCGTATGACTTATTATTCCTGTATTTCATACACCGTTTGAAACCACTTTTCCATCTTATGGGGCGTTCACTAAGTGAATGCAATTCTGTGTAATAATCACTACTTCTATTCAACTCTCAAATAAAACTTTTAAATATTAAATAAAATTGCTAAAATTCTAATTGATCAAAATACTACCAACACTATACAGAATCGTACAGAATATTCTAGTAACACATACCAGAATAACATGTTATAATCAAAATTAACCTAATAGTAGTTAAAAACAATTAAAAACTCAATTAATAGGATGATAGCCATACACTTGATTCATACTTTATGATCATCGCCTACCCTTAGAGGACATGGATGTCTAGAAACAATCATCGTTGCAATCACTGAAAGAGCACCTATAGATAAAACACATATAATACCCAATATTATATTATTTATAATGTTTGCGCCACTAATCTGGTGTACATAATGTCAAACTGATCTTGAAATTAAATTACCATCACATGAGTCACTCAATTGCATACATCGGGGACTGGGATGTCGAATGGGAGGCCATAAAACCCTTTCCAATGCACATATAGTTTACAAAAGTACATTGATAAGTATCTCATATGAAATGCTAATAAAATATATGGAAATACATGATATCTGTAGATAATAGACGCAAATGTGTCGTAACGATAGGAATGCATGTATTTTTAGGATTTGTGTGCAATGAATGACTACAATGACTGCCAACCCCTGGCTTGTGATTAGTCAACAGTTAAGGCATTATTGAAAGTATGATAAGAAATGGTATATATTACACAGAATTCAGTTCCAACTTTCATTAGTGAACATCACTACTATAATAATACATTAATTCCAACATCTGTTAATTAACATCCCATCGAAATAATGAATATCTATCTGACAATTGTGGTCGTGTTGTGCGCCGTTGGGGCGAGTTTGGCGATAACAGAAGCGCCCGTACTTAAGACCCGGGAGTTAAACCACATCAAAGGTGGGGACAGGGAAACCGAGTTTGAGTGCACGTATAAATTGGACACTGGTGAGACATTCAAGGAATTGACCGTCAAAAAACAAGGCAAGGACGCTTCCACCTGGAATACAGTATTCACGCATACTGGTGAAACTGGTGTGTATACCATTATAAGCATTATATTATATATAAATATATTATAGGTAATATATTTATTAATTCCATTATTTTTGGTATTGCCAGATGCTACTTCAGGCAAAGTTGATGGTGAAATCGCTGAGGGAGAAATAACCATCCCGGATAAGAAAAAGAACGTATTCAGGGTCAAAAAGGCGACTAAAGTGGATGGCGTTTATAAATGTAATGTGGATCCCGTCACAGGATCGGGCAAAGAGGTCCAAGCAACTGTGAAAGCCCTACGAGGTATATATAAATTGAAAGATTACTAAATTAATTAAATTAAATATATGTGATTAGAACGTTTATATCAATTTTAATAAAACAAATTAACATTACACATCTTATTAATTTAGAAACCGTTGAATTCAAAATTCACGAAAAGGACGCCAAGGATAACAGCCTTGATTTCAAAGCCGATCAGCAATTGGACGCTAGTTTGGAGTACGAGTTGGCCGACGGCGACGGTGTCTTCATTAAAGCCGAGTTCAAAAAGGATGAGGCCGTTTACCTCACACTGACTGCCGGCTCGGGCACTGACGCCGATAAGATCGGTATGCATTCTACGCGCCAACTAACTAAGCAAGCACATCTTATAATTTACATATTTCATAATCATTTACAGCGAAGGCCGACCAGAAGGATAAGGGTGTGAAAGAGGGCGACGTGGTTGACGCCAAACGGGATAAGGACAAGAAACTGATCACTTACTCCATTAAGAACGCCTATAAGGAAACGGGCGGCAAATTCAAAGCTGTTTTCTACTACAAGCTGAAGGCGGCCGACGCTGACCCCGCCCTCCAGTTTGACTCCAACGAAGTCGATTTGAAATACACCGGCGCTGCTGCGACTACCATGCTCAGTTTCGCATCCATTAGCACGTTATTATTGGCCCTAGTTGCTGTGCGATCAAACCTTTAATTTATTTTTCAATTCACGTAAACATTAACTAATAATTGTTTTATATTTTATACGGATTTGTATTTATTATGAATTAATTCTCTTTCAAATTGCTTTCAATTTATGGTTTTGTAAAATAAATCACTTCTAACTGTGAATAACACACGACTACTACTCTTATACCTCTAACCCATACCTCACCCCCACTACACCCACCCCTCCCAACCCCTCAAACTCTCATTTAAAATCCTAAACTTTTACTTAACTCTCGATTCAATGAACTGTTTTTTAAACACAACTTATGTTTTGTTATAGAAATTAATTTTTAAATTGTTTTCTCCAATAAAAAACTTTTTCCACAAAAAAGTTATTTCCAATTCAATTCATACTGTAATTGAAATCTATATTAACCTATATTTTCATTCAATAGGTAAGAGATAGAAAGTATTGCAACCCTATTACGACATAATATCTCAATAAATCAATTGTGATGTGAATAACAAGAGCTTAACTAATATTATAAATCATATCTCAAAAGTGTATCTCAAGTATGGGTACCAGTAATGCATAAAACGAGTGGTTTTGCGATAAGTTTTTTCCACAGGAATCGCAAATTCTGTTATTTATTATGCATTGAAATTGTTGTAACCTTTTACATATAGACCACAATAAGTCGTATCAAAAAACAATAATTTTTATGAATTGTGTACATATTATGCACGGAATCGGTATAACAAACTCATAAATAAATGATTCATACAATTATATTCTAGCAATTAAATCGTAAAAACATTTTTATATATTTTATTTATTAGATTACGATTGCTTTGAAAGCCATATAAGAAATACCGTTCCCCTCTGTGCCTATGAATACCTTTCCCCTCACTAATCCTTTGCTAATCATTTCGACATAAAAATGTTTGTTAAATATCACATTACCGTTGAGTGTTTATTGTCGTCAAATATATATTAATATAAACTTTGAAAGTAAGATAATGAGCTAGTACACCTTACAATACGCATACATTTCTATTGCACATCGAAAGCACAATATCTAATCATTTATTGTATTTTACGGTAAGTTTTTAGTGAGAATATTGTGATCACATATGCCTTCACCACAAATATAAGACAATAAATCGTTAAATAACTTATCATTTAATCTGTAGATATTATAAACGATTCTCTATTTCTATGTGCAATAAAAATAAGTCCTTTTTTCTACTGATAACGAGTCTACTCTCGAAAGCCGTTTTGTTTGATAAACCGGACAAATGATTCATACATTTAATTATTATTTTAATTATCATTTCTCAGAGAAATTCACGGTTTCGTATGAATTCCCTAATACACACAATAAACATTTTATTATTTAATTAAATTATTGTTAAATTGTTAAGTTTTGAGACTAATTATATATGAGTTTTCCGCTATTTTTATTATAATTGCAGCTAATATCTGTCTGTTATGTAAAACCATTAACATTAGAAATATCACCGTTTATTACACTATAAAAAATTTATTTATTTTCTGCAGTATTTGCATGTTCTTTATCATTTTATTCAGTTATTATTCACACCAAGTTCAAACAAATTAAAGTCAATAAATAAAGTTGAAATTCTTTAGCTACATAATTTTGCAAATACTTTAATAAATAAACAAATTGATTGATATTTTTGTAAACAATTATGAAATATTGTGTTATTTATTAAGAGTAGCGAACCCATAAGGTTATAGTTTTTTGATAAACATGTGTACATTTTCAGACACATTTTGAGAGAGAGAGAGAGAGAGAGAGAGAGAGAGATCTAGAAAATGCTGGTAATGTCAACGAAATATACTATTGATTATAAGATTATACAAATAATTTCGTAAACAATTGTCAAGAATTACAGAATCCGGGGAAACAATAATAACACTATTATTTACATCTGAGTTCAAAATAGATTTATATTTATGACACTTTTGTTGATTTCAAATAATGACTGAAATATTAAATAATATCTCATGAATTTGTAGTACAACCAAGTTTATTTAAATCTTAGGACAAACTACACGAGCGCCTGGATTTCAAATACATTATCGCTTATCTATTGATTGGTTTTGTAGTTCGTATGACTTATTATTCCTGTATTTCATGCACCGTTTGAAACCACTTTACCATCTTATGGGGCGTTCACTAAGTGAATGCAATTCTGTCTAATAATCACTACTTCTATGCAACTCTCAAATAAAACTCTTAAATACTAAATAAAATTGCTAAAAATCTAATTGATCAAAATACTACCAATACTATACAGAATCGTACAGAATATTCTTGTAACACATATCAGAATAGCTGTTATAATCAAAACTAAGCTAATATTAGTTAAAAACAATTAAAAACACAATTAACAGGATAATAGTCCTACACTTGATTCATACTTTATGATCGTCGCCTACCCTTAGAGGACATGGATGTCTAGAAACAATCATCGTTGCAATCACTGAATGAGCACCTATAGATAAAACACATATAAACCTAATATTATATTATTTATAATATTTGCGCCACTAATCTGGTGTACATAATGTCAAACTGATCTTGAAATGAAATTACCATCACATGAGTCACTCAATTGCATACATCGGGGACTGGGATGTCGAATGGGAGGCCATAAAACCCTTTCCAATGCACATATAGTTTACAAAAGTACATTGATAAGTATCTCAAATGAAATGCTAATAAAATATATGGAAATACATGATATCTGTAGATAATAGACGCAAATGTGTCGTAACGATAGGAATGCATGTATTTCTAGGATTTGTGTGCAATGAATGACTGCCAATGACTGCCAACCCCTGGCTTGTGATTAGTCAACAGTTAAGGCATTATTGAAAGTATTGATAAGAAATGGTATATAATTCGCACACTTATTACACACAGAATTCAGTTCCAACTTTCATTAGTGAACGATATATTAGAAATATATTAATAACTTGAAAGAAGTAGACATCCCATCATAATAATGAATATCTATCTAACAATAGTAGTGGTGATGTGTGCCATGGAGGCGAGTCGGGCCGTAAGCCCTGCGGCTAAACTAGTGATCAAGGATTTAAATCACGACAAGGCTGGTGACCGCAAAATCCAGTTAGACTGCAGCATCACGTTGGAGACGGGGGAGACATTCACGTCGCTTATTATTAGCAAAAAAGATAAGAACGCAAACTATATTCCAATTTTCACGCGAAACGACATCGATAAAGGTATTTATAGCAATTAGAGCTTGGTAATCTGGTGGGCCGATCCTAATTTTTTTATACAACAGCACCGACCAAAGGCAAAGTTGACGATGAAATCACTGATGCGAACATTGAGTTGGACCCCGACATCAAGAAGAATGTGTTTACAATCACCAAGGCCGCTAAATTCGAGGGAAATTATAAATGTGCCGTCTCTACTAGCAAAGGAGTACCGGACACCTTTGTTGATCTTAAGGCCACTTGGGGTGAGTCACTTTTATAATACTAGCTTAATTACATAAGTAGATATAGTTAGAGCTTGTTAAATTGACTATATATTGTTTATACAGATGCGGTCACATTCAACATCCGCGCAAAGGAATCCAAAGATGACGCCAAAGACAAGTTCCAGAGTGGAAACCAACTGGACGCCACTCTGGAGTACTCGTTGGGCGACAGTACTTTAGTTAGCGCTGAGTTCAAAAAGGACGACAAACTATACTTTAAATACACATTAGACGGCGATAAGAAAGGTATGTACCATGATGGCTTAAATAACTGAAAAACAATAAACTTATAATATGCATGTTTATGGTTTGAATAAAACAGAGCCCCAGGATGGTGCCAAGGACGCAGGTATTCCACAGGATCACGTTATTAATGGCGCTCACGATGCGACCGCAAAGAAAATTTCTGTTTCCATCAAAGATGTCAGTAAGGACACCCAAGGCAAATTCAAAGCCATTTTCAACTACAAGAACGCCGCCGAAGAGCACTACACCTCAAACGAGGTACCTCTGACCTACAACGGTGCCGCGAGTGCCATGGTCAGTTTCGCATCTATTAGCACCTTATTAGTGGCCTTAGTTGCTGTGCGATCAAACCTTTAATTTATTTTTCAATTCACGTAAACATTAACTAATAATTGTTTTATATTTTATACGGATTTGTATTTATTATGAATTAATTCTCTTTCAAATTGCTTTCAATTTATGATTTTGTAAAATAAATCACTTCTAACTGTGAATAACACACGACTACTACTCTTATACCTCTCTGACCCATACCTCACCCCCACTACTCCCAACCCCTCAAACTCTCATCAAAAATCCTAAACTTTTACTTAACTCTCGATTCAATGAACTGTTTTTTAAACACAACTTATGTTTTGTTATAGAAATTAATTTTTCAATTGTTTTCTCCAATAAAAAACTTTTTCCACAAAAAAGTTATTTTCAATTCAATTCATAATTGAAATCTATATTAACCTATATTTTCATTCAATAGGTGAGAGATAGAGGTAAAGTATTGCAACCCTATTACGACATAATATCCCAATAAATCAATTGTGATGTGAATAACAAGAGCTTAACTAATATTATAAATCATATCTCAAAAGTGTATCTCAAGTATGAGTACCAGTAATGCATATAACGAGTGGTTTTGCGATAAGTTTTTTCCACAGGAATCGCAAATTCTGTTATTTATTATGCATTGAAATTGTTGTAAACTTTTACATATAGACCACAATAAGTCGTATCAAAAAACAATAATTTTTATGAATTGTGTACATATTATGCACGGAATCGGTATAAAAAACTCATAAATAAATGATTCACACAATTATATTCTAGCAATTAAATCGTAAAAACATTTTTATATATTTTATTTATTAGATTACGATTGCTTTGAAAACGATATAAGAAATACCGTTCCCCTCTGTGCCTATGAATACCTTTCCCTTCACTAATCCTTTGCTAATCATTTCGACATAAAAATGTTTGTTAAATATCACATTACCGTTGAGTGTTTATTGTCGTCAAATATATATTAATATAAACGTTGAAAGTAAGATAATGAGCTAGTACACCTTACAATACACATACATTTCTATTGCACGTCGAAAGCACAATATCTAATCATTTATTGTATTTTACGGTAAGTTTTTAGTGAGAATATTGTGATCACATATGCCTTCACCACAAATATAAGACAATAAATCGTTAAATAACTTATCATTTAATCTGTATTTTCTTATAAATCAAATGCTGTTTTATTTGGAAATGAAATACTTTTTTATCAATTAACAAAAAAAATTTATTAAAAATATATATCCCTTCACATATAAAATTAATTACTAATACATTAGCTTATAAATGGCAAACATATCTGTAATCTATGGTTCAATTGCTTTGATTATTAATATAGCAATTATTGCCGCAAATGAAGTGTATCTTAGAAAGGATGATCTGCCACTTGTAGGTGCAAGGGCATTCAAAATTAACTGCACGTATGCACTTGACCATGGCCAGAGTATAGACACAATTACTATTACTAAAGATAATCACGTTTTTTATACAGTGCATAGTTATCAGGATCGAAAAGGGGAGTATGTCAAAGGTAAATTGTTTCATATAAATACCCTGCTTATGCTAATCTACTCATTATTTAATACTGTCAATTTAAATATGCTTATAACTCATTGTCATTTTGCAATTATTTTTAATTCAAATGGTTTCATATTTAAGGCAATTATATTGTCCTTAAATTAAAAGGTTTTATCAATTAATTCTATAATACAGTATAAAATATTAAGTTTTGTAAATAATGTTATATTGTGTTGTTGTTATAGTATTAGTCACTGTTAAGGGCTACAAAACTTACCTGATAAGACAGTGAAATGCAAATAATAATTGCTATAAACTATATTAATATTAACTATTTATTATTCAATACCTGTATATTAAATAATGCAATCAAATCACTCATAAAATACAGTAAACTAATAGAAAAACTTAACAAATATTTATTATCTTTTAAGATGCCAACTTCATAAAAGTACCCGGCATTGATTACATACTCAATGGATTCTCATATTTAAATCAATCTAAAAATAAGGGACTGATTATGACTACACATAATAACGCAAATAAGACAACAAACGGTGTTTACAAATGCATTATTGCCTACAAAACCGGTAAAACTGTAAACTCTATTCAATCCAAAGAGCTTACAGTTAACAATGAATTTGGTAACAAAATTAAGAGTTTAAAAATGAGACAAAATTTATAACATTTTTATCGCAAACAGAGGAATTAATATTAAATAAAAATCAACACAAAATGACATTTAACACGAAAACAAACATAAACCTATTGTGCGATTACAAACTCTTGCGAAACGATACGTTCAAAAGTATACAATATTATAGAAATGGGCAAAAGTTTTATAAATATATTGTAGATACAAAAAGTGGTAAGGGTTTTCATTATATTCATACTTACACCAAATAATAACCTATTTTTGATAATAGAAACTCTAAACAAAACAAAGGGCATAACAAAAGTAGCAGGGACAAGTGGTCAACATTCATTCAGTCTAACCATATTAAATGTAAACCGAGAATCTGATGGAGAATATTCTTGTGAGATCGAGTGGTACAACCAGTTTCACAAATTACCCCTCACCTACAAGTCTAATAAACAGTTATATGTCTATAATTGTGGTGATATTAAAGCCATTTCTCTTTTATTACTGTTTATTATTTCATTCATAAAACTGTTTAATGCTTTTATTTAAATTATCGGTAAAAGATACCGTATTATAAACTGTTAAATAATTATTGTTTTATGACATTGTGTGGGCATTCATTTTATAATATCACTTTGTTGACATCAGTACTAATGTTATAAAAATAAATGTTTTAAATGTTGACAAATTGATATGAAATTATATTTTATTATTTTAAAATTTGAACTTAATAAACAGAATATTCCATTGTGTGTAGTTTTATATATTTAATATATTATTACCACAATAATTATACTATATTAACAAATACTTATTTTAAAATTTAATATTCAATATACTATATTGATACTTTAATTTTAAGATTAATTTATTGATATGTACAAAAATTAATTTTAAATTAGTTAATATAGTTAATTCAATATCTCACACTTTGAAAATTTAATTATAATTTCTTAATGATTTATTTAATTAAATAAATTCCTTATTTATTGCTTCATTTATTAACACATGGCTTAAACATATTTAAGAATCGCTTGTTTACCAAATTAAATACCATATTTGTCTTTTAAAATATTTAAAGAGTGATTTTTAAAATAATTTTATTCATTCTACATAATAATAATCATGAAAACTCTACTTTTTCTAAACTTTTTAATTATTTGTAATATTCATACAATATCTGCTAACAGTGTTAGCCTGGTTAAAACTGAACTCTCATGGCCTCCAAGTGCGCGAATATTTCGGCTAAACTGCAGTTATATTTTTGAATCAATTTCTGAACATTTGGTCGAAATAACTAACGACAACGAAATCTTTTATTCCGTTCAGTACCCAAAAGATAACCCAAAAACATTTGGTTAGTATTGTATAAATTATACTGTAGTACCTGTATTACCTTAAAAATAGGTGTGCCCATTTATATACTGTATAGTAATACTATTGTTTAAACAATTCATACACTAATTAATTAATTATTTAGACGTTAAAGGTGCGACACCTTTTGCTCAAACTAATGACAATATTAAGAGTATATATTTGGAAATTAAATAGAATTTACATTTATACATTAAATGTATAAACAATTTAAAATTACATTTTAAGTCATTTATATTGATACTGGTCATTTGTTTTAAATTAACAGCTGAATTCATGACTATCCCTGGTGTTTATAAACTTTCTGAAAGTGCCGAACAAAATGTGACCAGGGAAAGGGATGCCTCATATAACCAGGGTTGGGCACAGATTGTCTTATACAAGACTAATCAATACACTTCTGGTGACTACAGTGTCTATTATCAGATCAAAGACTCGTCGACAACCAAAATGATTGATTCAGAACCGGTGTTTGTTGTGGAGGATCGGGGTATATATAGAAGTCATTATTTTATTATTAGATTTTTATGACAATTTAATTGACAGAGAAAGTCAAGTTAAATATGAATGACAACCGTCGGTGGTATAGTCGGGGCAAAAATATCCAACTCAACTGTGGCTACCATTTGGTGCCCAACGACTCGTTTGTATGCATTTGTCTCTTCAAGAATGACGAGAAGTTCTTTGACATCTTTGATCAAAAACATCGTAAGAATTGGACATTTTTTATGAAACCCCTGTTGACAACAAAAACATTTAATTTTCAAAATAGGCATATACTAGTAAAATCTTGTTAAAAACTTACCTAGTTAATTTAACACACCTAGCTTTTTCGATATATTCAATACTTTTTTTTTAACGCCAGAATTCATGGAACCTCTGAATTTTCAAATACTTTTAGAATACATTGTAATGTTTAAAGATTAAAGTCAATTAAAATTAAAATCATTATACCGGTAATAATTTTATAAATAACTTTAAACTAATTATTTTAAATAGACAATTTTACACCGATTGATGGTATAAAAAATATAACCTGGTCACATAATGGTGAAAAGATAAATTTAACCATAAAGGACGCACAGAATAATACTGGTGGTGAATACCGGTGTGAATTAAAATTCACAAATGCATTGATGCCTCAAAAATACACCGCTATATCCGACACACAGACCATTGAATTTAAACTAAATTCTGCGCCAAACACTATATTCATTGATAAAAATTTATATTTTATAATCATTTTTTATATTGTTTATTATATAAGCTTTTAAATCATCAAAAATACATTGATTGATTTGAAAAAATCTTATTGATTTTTATTTAAGGACTATCATAATAATGTAAATAAACCAGGATCAAAAGTAGGACTTCCAATGAAAATGTCAAACAATTTAAAGATAATATTGTCAGTGAATTAACTGACAAAACTATTGCATTATTATTGACAAAGTTATACTATTATGTTAGACTTACTGTAAACCTACACAATTTTAATAAAAATGATCTGCTATACATTTATAATTTAAAATTATTAAATGTTATAATATTTTTGATGAACAATTTATACATTTAAAAAATTAATTGTAATTTATTTTTTAAGTTTACAAAATAAATATTTAAAAAAAATAGTTTTCAACCAATTTTCTGGTATTTATAGCTATTAAAGTCAACATTCATATAACGATAGAAACGGATATCTAAGGCATTAACGGTAAAACAAAATTGTTTATCAGACATACTTATAAAACTATACAATAAAACTGATAACAAACACAAAAAATAAGCACAACTTTCTCAATAGAAACACACCTTTTCATTATTGCCTACAAAATCATAAAAACACCAAAAATCGTCTTAAATCATGTCTCAATCATTCATTTATTTGGCAATTGTATTAAACATGATAAATGTGTGCATTTGTGGGACACCGGAGATACAGTTCTCGCACTCGACGGGGGACGGGAGCTTCACATTGAAATGTGAGGTCCATTACGACAAGTCCGAGGCCTCCTTCAGTCGTATTGAGATGAGTAAAGACAACACCATTTACTTCACGTACGGAGGAAATGATGGTATGTTTCATACATAGTAAACATCTTATGAATAACATTATGTTATTGTAAATATTTATTTTATAATTTAATACACCAATTATGATACTTTTCAACTATTTATAATGAGTGCTAGTGTTTAGATTATTAATAATACATTATATCAGTTATGCCCTAGCTCCATTTCCCACAAAAAGGGGCTATCATTATTTTAACTTAATTTTAAGCCTTGGAGATACACTAATTTTAAATTACCCTGCTCCTGAACCATTCGGTTTAGTATAATTAACCGAAAAAATTAAATTGATTGTAATAAAATTAAATAAATTTTACAAAATTTACTTATGATAAAAATATGTGGTAGGTGTTCAAAATAATAACTAAAGTATTATATATTTTGAAATTCTCAGAGATCAGTTTCAAACCGATTGAGGGCATCGACAAACTGGAAAGGGATATCCATTTCATAGAGGCCGAGAAGATATCGAGTTATGCGCACATCGAGAACGAAATCGCATACCGGAGCCCACAAGTGGCCGGCACCTACAAGTGCGCCGCTTTTATTACGGTCGGCGGCAATGAGATCAAGAAAGAGGACGTCATTGCCATTGAATACAAACCTAACGACAAACCTAACGACCCCTTCAAAGCCGTTGAGGAGTCCAAGGAGGGGGACTCCGGCGCTAATGTGTTACAATTCAGTATAGTTAGCTTGTTTATACTTATAGTGAACTATTTGTTTAAATAATATGTTTTTATTATTTGAGTTATTTTTCTACAAACATTTGTATTAAACGTCTAATCTATTGATGTGTTTATTAAAGGAGTCTTTCATTACTGTCAAGTAATTCAAAAAATTTATTTTATGAGATAACACTTTGACTCTAATTGTAGGCAATGTTTTTTATATACAATTCCTGTATTAGATGGCGGCTATAAATAATTTATAATAAAACCAATAGCACAAATTGTAGTTATATTATAAAACTATTGGATAGAAAAATCAGAATTTGATTATCAAGGACAATTTTGTGTAAATTTATTCTATTTGGAAAAGTTAAATAATCTTCACAACAAATATATAAAATATAACTTGTCATTAATTTTTAATTACTGCCATATAATTTTAAAGTTTTAAAGTTTTAAACATTATTAAGCTTTTAACGACTGTTTTGTATAATTAATTTATGATTTATAAAACTAATTTAGTTTTAAAAAGTTTATATTTAATCTTATATCCTGTAAACTACCGGTACAATCAGCCCTTATATGTAATAATTCATACATTTAAACAACAGATTCATTAAGAAGTGGTTAAGAATTTTAACCTTTTCAGAAGTGCTCTATACATATGTAAAGGACATCTTTTCCCACTCTAGACCTTGACCACAGGGACTGGGCCACGGAAAGTAATCGACGACATACACTTTCACACTTCACAAACTAATTAAGCATTTTGGCGTAAAATTGTTTATAAAAAGTTTTTATCTAAATATTTATATAACAATACAAACCATAGAATTAAGCAAATATTCTCATACATAGCACTCGATTCATGGTTTATGGAGTGCCAGGAATAACACGAATTTAAAGTTACGAACAGTTTTGGACAAATTTTGCCAATATGAGCAGGTTAATTTTAAGTTTTATATTAATTGTATTGACATTATGTGTGGTCAGCTGTGAGAGGACTGAATTGAAGTTCATACACACCATTATGAAGGATAGGTTTGATTTGAAGTGTGAGTTGGAGTGGGATATATCCGAGGCATCATTCAGTCGCATCGAAATGCTTAAGGATTCAAAAATCTACTTCACGTACGGAGAAAATAGTCGTGAGTTTGGTTACATTTTTAATTTTTATTACTCATTTTAAAATGTTTGTAAATATAATCATTTATGGATTAATATTATACCATAAGCTGTACTGTAAATTACTTTGATGAGCATATAGCTCATGATAATTAAAATAAATAACATGTTATTTATTGTAGAGAAAAGTTTTAAACACATCGACGGCATAAAGCGTTTGGAGTCTGAGCTGGTTTACCGCAAACAAGGCAGTACCCGGCACCGGGAGTTGGCACACGTCCAGAACCAAATCAAATACTGGAGCAAAAGTACCGGTGGTTACTACCAGTGCATCGGCTATTATGTGATCAACAATCGGGAGTACTATAAACAACACAAGATATTCATTAACTCCGGCGCCCGTAGTCTCTACCTAAATATGGGAGCTATTGTTTTCTGTGCTTTCATTTCAATCTATAAAATGTTTAATTAATAAACATTGTAAAAGTATAACATATTAAGTTAGAAATTTTATTAAAATGTTAAAAGTCATTAGTAGAGTTAGTTTACATAATAATATTGCGAATTCATGTTATTCAAATAACGTAAGTTTAATTTAGTGTGAGTTTGATAATTGTTTGTTACATATTTGTGACCATTATGTGTAACACTTTTGTGTTATAATTAAAATGAATTATTTGTTGAAATCTATAGTTTTAAGAAATATGATAACCATAAGACCAATGAGCTATCAATGGGAATAAAACTCAATTTAAATATATTATGATTAAAATATAAATATAAAAGTGACCAAATTGTTTATAGTTACATCTTAATATTGTAATATTTAATATTTTATGTTTTAAATAAAGATCTTATTTTAAAGACCCAAATAATTAGTAAAAATATTACTTCTACTTCATAACTATAAATACACATCTGGCCACCTCTGTCAAGTGAAAAATGCTATAATTAGATGCATTACTTCAGCAAATTTCAATGAATTGATAGCAAAGAAATGCCAGCAATAGAAGGCAACCGTGTTTTCTGAGCAATACTCCTGTTTTGAGTACTTGACATTAGTTATTATGTTTATATTTAGTTATGTAAAATCAGAATGTATTATCAGAACATTTAATATTGTATAAACATGTATTACTTGACAGTCATTTGAATTTTATTTTATAATCAAAATATTCTAGTTATCTGTTTATTATTGGTACATAAGTTCTAATATACTGTAATTGAATTGATTTATTTTATTTATAGATTTCAACATAATGAGAGTTCAAAATAATTTATCACTTATATTACCTTAACTTGAACTGTAATAGTTGTCCACTTTGTCTTTAACAACGACATTAACTTATAGGTGCGATGAGCCTGGTCATTGAAAACAAGGGCCGGAATGAGCAATAGATTCAAATATACCACTCCTGTCATAAACAGCGCTCCAAAGGCTATCTGTACCCAAACGGCTAGACCACCGAAAATGGTTTGCAATAGAAAACTACCAAATATTGTCGAAATAGCCATCCAATTGACAAATAAATATTTGGACCAGAACCTATTCATTTCCCGACATTTGTTATGAATTTTATAATAATTCATAATTACTTCCAATTTAAATAATTCATTCATTTTATGTTTTAATAGACGATTGTTTTGAAGTCTGAGTTCAAGTGTCAGATCAATACATATGAGCATAAAGTAGACGACTGGCCAGAAGTATAGACTCGAGTCGTACAGACCAAACAATCCGTATAGGACTGACCAGGGTATGGCTACTAAACATACATATTCTGGCGAATCATTCAATAAATACAGTGATAGGAAAGACATGGCAAACATGGTTAAGGAGTAGACATATTTAAATGTAATATCCAAACATTTGAATCCAATTTGAGTTTTAGTATTGTGTAAAACAATTGTTTGAAATTCTTGTGAATTATGTTCATAAGAGTACAGATAATCAGAATTATTAGCAGAGTATTGACGGGAAAACATTAAATGTGTTACAAATGGTAGACTAAATACAGATATCATGAGTACATGGAAATGGTTCCGGAGTTTCCAGTCGATGGCAAAGTCACCCACAAGTGCACAGACATCAGGGTCCGGTATTATGAGACATATTAAATGCCGCACAATTAGTATAGCATTTACGGTATCTATCAAATATGGATAATACAATCGTGGGCGCTTGTGACCACCACTTGGAAACAAGCAAATACCGGTGCCATACATGTGTTGTCGCAAATAGTGGAGATCATTGCGAATGTATTTTTGATACTTTTTCATATTCTCGTCGCTTGTATTGATAGCCATTTAATATTAGATTTACGTTATTATTATTTATAAAGATCTTAATCTTTATATTAACTGTATTCTTAATACAGAAATACATTTATATACAAATTATTGATAAATTAAAATAGCTAAAATGCTAAAAGCTAAAAGCACTTAATTACAAAAACTATGCGGGTAAATTACATTATACAGTAATTAGCATCACATTAAGTTTATAATAAGTGTAATTAAAGAATAATTACAAATAATTGTGTTCAAATGTTTTTTTACAAACAATGATAAAAATAGATGAAATGAATAAATAATTTAATGATAATGCACTCTATATGAAGTAAGTTATATATGATATTTATGCATTATATAATTATATAACACGCAAACATACCTGAGTTCATAATAAGCATCATATCGCATGTTTGTAAACTTATTTAATTATTCAATATAATAATTTCTTACAAGTTAAATATTTTTTATTTTTAAAATCAAAATGCCAAATACCTGAATAATAATTATATTACAATTATCAATAGATTATTAGTATTAATAATGAATGAATTGCACAGGGTGTTTCTGACACTTATACAAAAAATCAAGATTTAATTACATAGTTGACTACCAGTGTCGTATAGCAGTGAATCTCAACCTTTAACTTAAGTTCAAGAATCAATGTTTGACACATGGACTATATTTTGACCTTTAATTTTTGAATCACCTATATATATATTCTGATTTGGGATTCAAAATGAACGGTCAGAATATACTCCAGTCACCAATCAGTTTGTAAGTAAATGAGAATTCTAAGTTCATTTAACTTATTATTTGTTACGTTGAGATTCACTGTCGTATAGCCTAATTAATCACCTAATTATTTTTTAATAAGTGTCAGAATCACCTTGGTTGCAGTAATCAGTTGTAACCAAAACTAACGATTAAATGAATCGATGCATACAAATGAAAAATTGAAAGAAGAGTTCACTCATTCAAACTAATAAAAGCTTTCAAACTTAGCTTACATTCAAAATAATATCTCTTAACTTTATACGATAGGCGCTCATTGGGAAAATTATCGATAGTCCATATTATAACCTTTAGCACGTAGTATATTATTGAAATGAACAGGTATCGATTAATATCGACTATCCCAATGAGCGCCTATCGTAATTGTTAAGAGATATACAATACTAATGAATCATTTGTAAAGATTAAGCTTTTATTAGTTCGATATCGATTCATTTAATAGATATTTTTGGTAACAATTATTTTTGCAATTATCAACTTTATATTATTAAAGGATAATTAATATTATAAATAAATGAATATAAACTTAATTTTTATTATATACAGTATATTTTATTAAAAAGAAATTATTTAAATAAGGCATATAACTAACTAAGTATAGTTAGTGATCAATTGCTTTATTGACAATTAGAAAACTTTTCAAATAAATAAATCAATTGCCAGAACAAATAAAACTGAAGTAACTCAAAATTAGCAATCAAATATTACCCAATATTCACTTTAATTATGCTATATTTTTTAAAACTAAACTTGAAATTTGAAACTATTTTGTTTTAATAAGCTAATTACATAATAATGACAATTAAATAATAAGCTTAACCAATTAATTACTCTTTTATTCTATATATTAGTTATAAAATGGATGCTATAATTTACAACATATATTAAAAATACAAGGATTTAAAATAAATAAAGGATTACTAAATATAACGTATAATGTTGTAAATGGTCATAAATTATTGACAAACGTATTTTGATATAGTACTAGCTTATTGGATAATATGTGCAATGTGATGTCAAATGTTAGTACAAAAACAAGTCAATAAATTAAAATAAGTTTTAATTGTCACGTACAGCTGATCCTTATATATAATTCACTCCAGTAAA